AGGTAATTACTCTTTGTGTCTTTCCCCACCCTTTTGACTAAGCATTCAACTGTGTTTTGCTTTATCTTTTTGGGCAAGTGCTTTAATTTGTCTTGTGGTGAAATTAATTTTTCTTGACTAACATTTGCAAGAACAGTTCATGGTCATTGCTTGTGCAGACTCTAGGTTTGCCCATCATATATTCTGGGATTTCAACCAGGTGAAGCTTTCATGATTCGGAATGTTGCTAATTTGGTAACTTCATTCGAGGTATACGCCTACGTCATCGAAACTATTATTGTTGTTGCACTGGGAGGTAGACCCTGCCTTCCCTCAAAGTCTTACCCATATTCCTTGATGCAGAATGGACCATCGGAGACAAATGCTGCTCTAGAATTTGCTGTGACCACACTGAAAGTAAGACATTATTACCAATAAATTCGGGAGCTTTAATGGTGTTATTCATTTATCTCTGTACATTTTGTTTCTTTGGTCTGTTAATTATTTACTTTTCCATTTCTTAAACCCAGCCGTAAAGCTATCTAAGTTCATTACAAAATTCAATGAGAACCTTGAAATCCGCTATGTAGAGTAACTATGATTATGAGTTCATTTTATTCTCATGGACCATTCACAACCTAGGATGAGAGAAATAAAATTATCGTAGTTATAATACTGGTTGATCTTGTGTTATATCTTCAATGAACTGCTTGGGTGACAAGTTTTGAGCTCAATATGTGAAAGGAAGCAGGGGAAACATATATCACAGTAGCAGCAATGTTAGGTCATCTGCGTATGATTATTAAATTTGCGACATAAATGGATTTGAGCAATAACATTAAGCCATACGTTGCAATAAAACTTGTAGCTTGGTTTTGTGACTTTGTGTTATGTACATGGAGGACTTTTCAGCTTTTAGATATATAACCTTCTGTTCTGACAACATATAGTTTTATATTTGTTTGATCTGAAAGATAAAACTTATTCTCACTGTAGGTGGAGAACATCTTAGTCATTGGTCACAGCTGCTGCGGGGGAATTCGTGCTCTTATGGGTATGCAAGACGATGCAAATGGAAGGTTGAACTTAGATAAATATAAATATTGTTTTCCTTTCTGTGATAAACAAAATTACGTTTCATTTTCTTACTTGGTTATTTTTATTCCTTAGCCTCTTAGAAAGCTGGGTTGTTGCTGGAAAAAATGCTAGAATAAAAACTGAGACTGCTGCTTCTGGCCTTGACTTTGATCAGCGGTGCAGGCATTGTGAGAAGGTACATTTCATGTGCTTTAGGTGAATCACCTAATTTATAATTTCTAATATTTTTATCTGCTAATGTATTCATAATGTCTAATATCTTCATTCCCTGATGAATGATATATCTTAATAGTTAGTTGATGATAGATCTTAATGACGTTGTACAATTAACGAACCTCACATAGTAGTGAGATTAATCTTATTATTGTTGTCATATATTTATTTGCTCTTGCATGTTGAGGTGAATGACTTAATTTATTTTGTCTAATTGTTTTATCTGCTAATGTATTACTTTGTTTTTCGTAATTATACATCACAGTTTTCTGTTTTCCATCAACTTCTTGAGTGATATAGAATGAGCCTTTGCAAAATGTTAATTCTTAAAGAAAACGGATGGAGCCTGAAGGATTCAAGTGGATTTTATGCAGGAATCACTCAACCATTCCTTATTGAACCTACTTACTTATCCATGGATAGAAGAAAGGGTGTCCAATGGAGAACTGCTCATTCATGGCGGTTATTATGATTTTGTTGAATGCTCATTTGAGAAATGGACTGTGGATTACATGAAAATGAAAACAGAAGGAACTGATGTGTTAGTAGTGAAAGACAGAGTGGTTTGGTGCTAAACTTTTGCTTTTGTTTTCCTTAGTAGTGGATTTTATTGCTCTGTTAAAATAAATACTTCCAAGTGAGGTAATTGTATAATCTATACATTTACTTATTATTATGTTGGGTTGAGTAGAGAGCATGAATAACCCTTAAATAAATTTGTCAGTATTAATATTATAGAAAGAAAAGAATTATGCAAATTGCCTTTGTTTAGGTTCCACATTGCTCAAATATGACTGGAAGTATAATATCAGTTTTTTATTAAAAAAATCATAACAAGCAGCCTGAAATACACACACATATCATTTGTATTATATTTAACTTAAATTTTTTCCCTTATTTAAGTGATGTAATTTTGATATTACAAATGATTATTCTTACAATATTCAATGTATGGAGCTTGACATTTAATAATGTATACGTGTGTTGTAAAACATCAATTTATATTGGTCAAACATGTAAGTAGTTCACACCTTAAAGCAGTACATCAATTTTTTATTGTTGATTGTCATTTAACTATTTTAGAATTCTCAAAATTTCATTGTAATCTTATAACCTAATTCATTCATGCGGATGGGGTTGTGTAAATGTTAAAAATTTTATAACATGAACTTGAATAATAATATATACAAAATGTTCATATGATTATTTTCGTGGTACTTAAATAATAAATATCCAAACCTATGTTTTTCAGAAAACAAATGACTTTAAAAGCATATTATCCCTGCAAAATCCGTTTGGTCAAATGAAAAATTTATCCATGAAGACTAGTCTCTGTTTTGAGAACAGCTTGATATATGCAAGTTTAAATATTCTTCATCACCGAAATTAGTTGGTGGGCGAAATTTCCTTGTCTTTTCTCATCAAAACTGTTTTTCCCCCCCTGCAAAATATATAGTGAGATATGTTAGCTAATTCACTTACAAACTTATTTTCTCCAACATTACAAGTCCTTTGACAAATTTTTTGCTTAATGAATTTTGAAACTTTTGAACAGAATTACTAACAAGCTAATTAAGTATTTTGAAGTGATATGTGTTCTGTCATTATCCTCTATCTTACTTAGTTGTTGTTAGTTTATGTATTTTGTTTATTATATAAGTAAAAGTAAGACTCCAAACTCCAATTTTATTGCGCCACATGTATATCTCCTGTAATTACAAGCGGGCAGTGGCTCTTTGTTTTCTGGGACACAATTACATGTGGATCTTTTCGTGAAAATTATGAGGAAATTTTCAATATATATATATTTAATTGATTTATTATAAATATTTGATCTTATTGGAATACTCAAGTCGTATTATTTAAGAAACTTATATATGAGATTTAAATAAATAAAAATAAAGAAATTATAAAATATTCTTTTCATTGTAACTTCTCTTCAAGTTGTATGATAAAAATATGAATGCATAATCTTTTGCCTTGAATATTACAGGCAAAATTGGTTGTATTTTTTTTTTTTTTAAAAAAGCCTATATATATAAGTAAAAGTAAGACTCCAATTTTATTCCGCCACATGAATCTCTCGTAACTACAAGTGGCTCTTTGTTTTTTTTTTTTTAAATTGAATTACATGTGGCTTTTTAAGTAAAAATTATGATCATAAGGAGAGCATGTTATATAAAATGAGGAAAATTTTCAATATATATTTTGATACTATAAATAATTTGGCTTACAATAATCAATGTAGGCAACATGAGATTCAATAATCTAATTATCTATAAATTCACTTAAAATAATGTTACAACACATTCATTCACATTTAAATTCTGCTTCTTGTGCTTTACACTGGCAACATCTCGTGTCATTCTGTTCCTAGCTTACAACACTGTAAAAATCACATATAAAAACATTATTAATTCAAATAACAATATATAGATAAAAATATAACATGGTGTTTGTGCGTAATAATTTTACAACATGAATTCGAATAATAATATATAAAATTAAAAAATCTGTAGATGATTTTTGATAATTTTTTAAATAATAAATATTAAAACATGCAGTAGGGGAAAATGATTTTATAAATATACAAACCTAAAAAATTTGTCAGCCCAGGAAAAAAAATCATCAGACTTGGGGTCTTTTTCCACAAAAAGTTCTACGTTATCCAATGTATTCGATATTGATAAATTAAAATATTTATCATCACTCAAATTTGTTGGAGAGGAATTTCCTTCTTTCTCCCCTTCCGGATCATCGTCAGAACTACATCGCAAGAAAATTTTTTCATGAACAATTTAAATCAATACTCAAACTTTATTATCTAAGGAAACTTATAAGTGAGACTTCAATAAATAAAAAGATATGATTTTTCCATAAATCGTATTTGATTTTTTTTCATTATTTTCATCAAGTTCCATCATAAAAATACGATAAGTGCATGTGCCTGAATATTACATGTAGAAATGATTGTTTTGAGAAAAACCTATGTAAATATATATATATATATATATATATATAAGCAAAAACAATTATGGAAATATAATCAAAAAGAAGGAGAGAGCACACAGAAATCTTGGATATGAGTAATTTTTTAAAATTATGTATAAAAGAGTGTGTGAGAATTTTGAAACTTCTACAATTAAATCCAACAATTTAGTTAATTTAACTATATTATACTTCTATAACAAAATAATTATCCTTATTATTCTTCATACCTTAAGTTTGCCTCTAACCACGAAGAGAAGTCATCTATGGACGTGTTTGTCTCTTCTTCCATGCTCTTGGCCGGTGGAATTCTCTGATTATCTTTCTTTCCTGTAGAAATTGGTCTTTGAATATTTTCTTTTGGCTCTGTTCTTATCTTCTTGTTTGTTTGATTATGATCCTTTTGCTCTTCGTGATATTTTTGTTGGTTTTCTTCAGACTCTTTTCTTCTCTTTTGTAATTTAATATTTCTATAATTTTGTCTTATCCTGCAGACAACATAATCTTTCATCTGTAAATTACAAAAAAAAAAGAATGTTATTAGTTAGTATAAACTCCAATAGAAACAGAAATATAAAATTGAAGTATGGCATGAAAAATAAAAAGGAGGCAAGTAATTATAAAACTTTGTCTCACGTTAAAATTAAGGCATCAAAACAGAATTTTAATTTGTGTAAAGTTAAAAGATTAAAAATATAGCTTTGCTGATCAGTGAATAATATTTAAGAGAATGAAACTTTGAATGAGAAAAGACTCACATGGAGGTAATTAGAAGGAAAGAGGGATGGATGAAGAGAATATTCGTGCATGATCCATTTTCCATCTTGATGAGTTCCACTTTTCTCAAACCGAAACCTCTTCATGAATCCAATAACCACACTTTGATTCATATTATTAGAATTGTTGATTATGATCTCTTTGGCAATAGCTTCTCCTTCCCAAGACCCTAATCCTACCTTCCTCTCTACGTTCTTAGCTCCAGCATTCTTTCTCTTCAATTTTGTGAATACGTACAGATCTTCATAGTGAACTGATTTAACCACATATTCACTGAAACATTCCCAGATTTCCCAGGGATTCTCATTTCCATAAAGATCACACTCTGCGATTAAGCCTTCGAAAGGTAATTGTTGTTGGATGACTTTATTGTAAAGATAATCTCTGATGAGTTCATGATCTTCTGGACAGAATCTCCACCCAGTTGGCATCTTATATGATGAAATCATTTTCTTATTCTCTGATATAGTTATTTGATTACTTGTTGATGTATGGCAAACAATCTGGCTCAATATATAAAAAGAAGATTAGGTTTTTTTTATTTTATAAAAGGTAAATTTTATTAAACCTGATAAAAAGATACATACACTAATTAATAACTGAGCTTTACTTAAGATAAAACAAGATAGAACGTAAGAGCCCAAAAAATAAAACGGACATGAAGAAAAACAACTGTAGAAGGAACCTAAGCCAAGCAATACAGTATATTTAAGACTAAGAAATTGTACAATTAAATTTTACAGTTTTGTAAATCCTCTCAAATTTATTGGTTTTAAATTGTTTTAGATTTTGTTAAATTTTTGTAAGGTGTTACTTTATTTTATCCAAAAGCGTACTAGTAGATAATAAACACCAAGTTATTAAGAAAGTATTGGTAAACAAATAACATTTGTCACCATATATGTTTATCAAAAAAAAAAAAATGATATGATACCTTATAACCAAGTACAAATCGCTTTGATCATGCCTAATAAAGAAAATAATATCATATTGTAACTTCTAGATGAAAATTGATGATAAAAAAAAAAATTCTAGATGAAAATCCTAAAATCCTTTATTAGTTTTCAAAATCCAGGGGAAGAAATCCATACCTTGTACGGAAAATCAAAGCAGAGAATAGATTTGCGTGTTAAAATCTTATATTTATAATGCATGATCAAATATCTGATAAAAACTATTAATTTGATATGCGTCATTTTAGCAAGTATTAAACAAAAGGGAAGAAAAAATAATATTTGAGGACCTTCTATGGCTTCTAATTATTTTTAAGGATCATGAATTCTAAGAATATAATTCTTTAAAGACGATCAAGTTTCTGGGTTGCAATAAAAATTTTCCACATATTTTCAACTAAACACAATTTCTTCTCTAAGCATAATATTGCGCATGACTTGCGGCTTGCGAGTACACACACGAAATCAACTAAGAAAATAATATAAAGATGGCGACTATACCTTTATTGTTTTCCTTTTAGCAAATTCTGACTTTATTCTCTATATTGTTCTAAGACTCTCTTTTTCTCTTGTCGCACTCCCTTGACCTTTATTTATAGAAATTCTGTTTTCTTGATATGATATTTATGGAGATCCTAAACTTAGGGTTTGTTAATATAAGATATTAATTAGAAAATCTCGCCAATAATGATATCAATTAAAATCTTGATAGATTATAACATTTGGATGTACAGAGATAATATAAATCTATAAGTATCAGCCTCTCTTTTTAATTAATTGAGGACTGAGAGATAATCCCCGACGATATTGACTTTTCTATTGATTTTAAAAAAATAATAAAATATATATTGTATTTAAGTCTCCAATTTGTTAAGGACCAAAAACTAATCCACCAATCTTGTGTGTGTGACTGTGCGTGTTAAAATCTTCAAGCACCCTATCATTTGAATCATAGATATATCGACTTAACAATTTGATAAATTGATTTATGTTTGAATTAATTTGGAAGATACAGTTTTATATTATCCTAAAATACTAATAGATAATATATATATATATATATATATATAAAACTCTATCCTTAGTAAAATATTAGTAACCAAAATATACTTTTTCTGCACATATCAACTCACTATAAATACAAATATTTTGTTGTCTTCTTAATTTATATGGTCCCAATGAATGCTTTAATTTATATTTATAATTAAAAATGTATAGATTTTATAGAGGCAAAAGAAAATACCATTGAATGAAAGTATTTTTTTTGGCATTGTTATTCATCTTATAAAGAATACAAAATACTTTGCATCAAATAAATGTATTTAGAATTTACACTACATATTATATTCTAGAGTGATTCCTTCCTAAATTATATTCTTGGTGAGTCCTGAAGTATCATTTTGCCAAAAATTAAGGTATTTGGTTATCTTTAAATTACTTACAAAATCTTCAAGTGTCATTCTCCCATAAAGAACAACTAAGCAATATATCCTGTTCTCGTTAGTAATTTTTGTAAAATTTTAGATTTGATCTATTTTTTTAAGTATGGAATATTAGTTTAATTTGAAGGTAAAGAGCCAACCACCTCATTAATTAGTCAAAAAGCTTGAGTTCCCAAATTCAGAAGCTGGTGAGCTATATCAAAACTCTCTCTCAAAGTCTCAAAATGTCTTCTTGTGGTTCTCCAAACTCAAGTACATTTCTCCCAAGAACGACGGCTAAAAAATATGCTTAAAAATTTTTTTTCTGCACTAAATATAAGAATTACATGGCCAATTTATAAATATTTAAAAAAATTAGTTAGGTGTTTTTTTAAAAAATGTGTTGCTTTTGTAAAAATTACTAACGTGGCACGTGTTTGGTATCATGTGGGACGCGTATTGGCTATATGGACGGACTTTCTAGCCACGTCGGACTCCATCACATCCCCATTTACCAATTACCCCATCGGTCCCACCGCAAGTCTTGGTTAACTAACAAAGAGATGTCAAAGTCTGTTTATGTTTATGGTTGTCCAAACCGCTCAGATCCACCACCTACCTCTATCTATATAAAGACCAAGAAGCTCCATATCGTATCTCATCAAAGCTCAGATTAAGCACATACACCTTGTATTCTCTTCTTCTTCATCTTCTTCATCTTCATCTTCTTCTCATAACTCAGCCATGGCTTCTTCTTCTGGGAAATCCTTCATCACAGCTTTGCTTGTGGCTCTCACATTCACAAGCATGATGAGTTCAAGTTTAGCAGCTCGTTGTCTTCTTCAAACGACACAGCCTGCGATACCAAACATGCCTGGAATTCCAAGTAACTTGCCTAAACCTACAGGATTACCACCTTTGCCTTCAATCCCAAGCAATATTCCTCCATTGCCTACAAATCTCCCAAATATGCCAAAACCCAATGCACTTCCTCCTCTTCCCTCTATGCCTCAGATCCCAACACTCCCACAGGCCACACTTCCTCCACTGCCTAACATTCCTTCTATTCCCAAAATTCCTACCACTCTGCCATCCATCCCTTTCCTTTCTCCTCCTCCTTCCAATTAATATCACAAAACATGGTTCACTAGCTTGTTCCTCATCTTGGTGTTATCATAGTTGCTTCATCTATCATTGTATCTGGTGGTGCTCGGCAGCATGCCGGCATATATACGTATAATCCATTATTTTTATAGGTTTGAATTGCTTTATCTTACTATGTCTGTGTTTCTTCTCTTTCCGATCGATGTGATGACATTTAGAACAGTGTATTATTTTTTCTTTTATTGATTGTAATCTTTGTTTTCACACTTACTATTATACAATAATGCAGTGAATGCAATGTTCAGCTTCTATCTCATCCGAAACTTCTAAAACCCTTATATTAGAGCACTGTATATACATATATATACATGCATAAAATTAGACAGTGAAAAGAGAGAGAATTGCTTATTTAAGTGACGGAATGAGGGTCGTCAAAAGCGAGTTCTGTTATGGGTCGAAATATTGCACTGGGAATACTCTATTAATGATAATAAAAGTTTGGCGCTTACATTCACATACCACATAGCACCTTTAACAAAAATGGCAGCAAAGAAATAGCCACCGAGGAGAGAGGAAATCTGTTTAGAAAGAGAGAGATCACAGAATCATATCTGAAAGGGCCAAATATTAAGTATAACTTTAAAATTACTAATTAATTGTCCTCTATCCTTGTCATTCACCTCCCTTCTCGTATTCTCACATTTCCATCCCCTGTTTCTGAGTCCTTCCATTATCCAGAAAGCCTCAGACACTCTTGATGCATGATGGAGCCCGTGGATGATCAGAACAGCTACTACAGAACCATTAATACCTGAAGTGCGATTTTTAACCTCATGTAAAATGCTTAATACTTTCTTCAACCCACCCGCTTTGCAGAGTCTCCATATAAACATCCCCAAACTGAACGTACTTTAAAAGAGACGCCTTACCAACGGGGCTGGGTCTGCCGTGCCGATGTAACAAATGACAAATCAAAGTTCAAATGGAAAAAGTGTCTACATTTAATATGCCCAATATGCCAATAGGGCACTAATAGAAGGATAACTGTGCTTAATTAGGGGGAAGAGAGAGAGAGAGAGAGAGAGAGAGAGAGACGCTTTCTGAGTCATTTCCTCAAACATTTTCTCTGCACTATCCAATTAGTATCCATCAGATGCCAGAGCAGCTGTCAAAGCGAGTTAGACATCTAGCTTCCTGTATCCGCAATAAGATATGGTACTTGCCCAAATGGGTAAACAGAAAATTTCAGGACTTTAATCTGCATCAAGGAGAACCAATGGCACTCACAGTGTCAAGCTTGATGAGTAGTAGCCTCGCAGCTCGTCATCTTCTTCAATTTCTATTGCAATTTTACGAACTCAATAACCTTGGAAGTTGCAAGTTTGTCTATCAAATCTAACATTTAATTTCCCTAATCTAACTCTGCTATTGCCAACTTTGGTTTCCTCCATTTACTTCTTCTATGTGATTGCAAGAGCTCAGACCACTAGAAGATGAAATTGACGGTGACATTGAAGGGATCTACAAGTCTAACAACACTAAATTCAATGTCAAATTAAAAACGTGCAAGTTTGTCGATCAAGGACTTACTTTATGATCCTCAAGGACAAAGAACATGATTTCTATTGCAATTTACGAACCCAATAACCTTGGAAGCTCCTGATTTTTGTTCTCTCATGATTTATTTGTTTTTTTATGACCAACATCAATGAGCCTATCCAGCACGTCATGCTTTTTAGACATTCTTTGAAAATGTCTCTGTAAATCTCTATGATCAAGAGAATAACAAGAATACGCGAACAAAAGACATGTGTGATTTACAATACATGCAACATAGTTTTATGACACTTCCATTGCAATATATGCTCGACTTGCATGTGGCTTTTAGTATTCTTGTGGGTTCTTTATGATATTTCATTTGATCCCGATCCTTATCATAGGTACCTACTAACAATTTTACATAAATTAATAAAAATAGCTAAAATTAATTAATATTTATAAAATATCAAAATTACCCTTAACTTTACATAAGATACAAAGACTAGTCACACCTTTATTTGACATGACTTCATGAGTTTTCAGTAGGCGTAAAATGGGCAATGTTGTGCCTACTATATGGTTCTTCGTATGCTCGTAGACTCCTTCTTCCGTCTTGTCTTTCTTTTCTTCAGTTGTTTGCTTCTTTGATTGCATTGTTGTAGGTTGAAATTCAACTTAGGTTTTCTCTGTGTTAGTCCTCATGCTTTTGGGATTCTCTCCCAGTTGCTGTATCTTCATAAGGTGGTTTATGTTATTCACTTCTTATGTTGTATAGCATTTAATTATTCTGAGAAATGCTTGTAAGATATGACTGGAACTACAAACAAAATAAATTATAATTCTCATAAAATATATAACAATAATTTATTTATTTTTTTGAAAATTTGAAAATCATTTTATTTTAAGCTTAAACAAATTGTCCATATCTCAGTCTCATAAAAACTTGTTCTCTTTCTAATATTTAATATAAGAGTTATTTAAATAATTTGAGTAAATAAAAAAAATCAAATAAATTAGTCAAATCTAATAAACGTGACATTATCTATTTAAAATAACCGTATATAAATATTAGCTTACATATTAGTCGTGAGAGATAAAGTAAATTAAGGACCAAATTATATTCTTGACCTTCTCTTATATTAAGTATTAGAAGAAGTACTTGATAAAAAGTTTCGGCGATTAAGTACATGTAGCTCACATGCCATTGTTAATTTACATTTTTTATTAGTTGTTAGCGGTTGGTTCCTATCACCTTACTTGTCAACTTGTACTACATTCGGTCCTAATTATAAAAACTAGTTGACTAATTTGAGGAGATTAAGGAGATAAGTTAAGTTAGTTATTTGTAATAAATAGGTGTTGTCTTTCCTAAAATATCTTTATTAATTAAGTGTGTGGGCTAGAATTATCATTGTTAGAAAGACTACCTTAGAAAAAAAAAATATAAATATAAGAGACAAAATGGATTGGGATCTTATATTTAGGACAGAAATAAAAATCAAACAAGATCTTATATTAAGAACCGGAGGTAGTAGTTGTTTCTTCTAAATATTTCAACCCCATTGATTATTACTTCTTTTTTTCTTGGGCCAACCCCGTTAATTATTACTTCACAAAGCAGTTATGCAACATTTTTTATTTAATTGCAGTTGGAGGACGTAACTATAAATGAAAAATCACGTTTAAAAAAAAAGAACATAAAACAAAATCTCCAATAATGGATTTTCTTTTTTTTGGGTCTCTAATTTGATAGATGGTTTTTTTCATACATGATAGATGGGTTGCCAATCAATGTTAATTTTTTAATTAATATTAATGTTTGTGTTGATTGTTATTCTGGACCATGAAGGCCCAAAATTCCTTTTTGGGTACTATAAGGCCCAAATCCTTCTGTTTTAGCTTGGGGCGGTCGAGCCCATATTAGGGTCCGATGACACGCAAAGCGTAACTACAAAGCCCATACGTGCTAAGGCCTTAGGTTTTCTCTCTTGTAGCTCAAGCTCGCGCTCGAAGTAGTCGACGCTCTTACAGAGAGTTCGTTGCGGCTGGAGCAAGGGGAACAACATGAAGGTTCATATTCATGCCAATTCTTTATCCTCAGCGATTTGATCTCCTGGTTTGTTTATAGTTTTATTTTCTGTTTGTTTGTGTCTGAGTCTCCTGCGATTCTGCAGTTCAACATTGCAAATCCCACCACTGGATGCCAGAAGAAGCTGGAGATCGATGACGATCAGAAGCTGTAAGATTTTTGCTTCTCTAATATATGTGTTCCAATTTTCATCTAAGTTTTCACTGCGGGTGTACAGGAATAGTTGTTTCGTTAGTTGAACAGTTCAACATTCCCCTGACAATTCATATTTATTACAAGGAATCTAAAGTCTGGTGCTTTTTATATTATTCCAACGATTATTTGGCCATACCGTTGGTCTTTAGATTTCTGAAAAACATGAACGTCATCGAGAACTCTGTAACTGCATTTACTGTTACTGGCGTGACAAAGTATCATGATTGTATCTAGTACTTGTTAAGGATTTTTTTTTTCCCCGTCCAAAGTCTAAGTCACTTTAGTTGCTGTGAATTATTCCATTGGGTGTTAATATGTGATTGAGCTATCTTCTCGAGGCTTTTTCTTATTGTTATTATGTTATACATCTTGTGCAGACGAGCTTTTTGGGACAAGCGGATCTCACAGGAGGTTAGCGGTGATGCTCTGGGAGAGGTATGCCCATAGTCATCATTTTTGTCTATTTCAATTTGAAGGAACGTACAAATTTATATATATTCAATGTATTTTTTACGCCTTTCAATCTACAGGAATTCAAAGGCTATGTCTTCAAGATCACTGGTGGTTGTGACAAACAAGGTTTCCCAATGAAGCAAGGAGTGCTGACCCCTGGTCGTGTTCGTCTCTTGCTCCACAGAGGTAGGTTTATTTTAAATCCCGATAGGCTTGTTTTCAAGTGCTAGACTCCTATTAATGTGCTGTAGATTTTGGGTAGGCTGTTATTGGTATACATTTCGTTTAGTTGGCCTGAAAGTTCTGTGAATGTTTTCATTTGTTTTCCTACGTTTGCTTTCAGAATTAAAATGAAAATTTTATTCTTATACTGTATTTTTCTGTTCATTAAATCATGGCTTTCATTTATTATCCTTTTTGTTTTGGGGACCTGTGGTGGCCAGCCAAGCTAGTTTCCTCATTTAGAGCCTTTGTTCATTTTACTATTGTTGTGCTAACTTTTGTGCATTGGTAATCTGCGCAGGAACTCCTTGCTTCCGAGGATATGGAAGGCGCAATGGAGAACGCAGGAGAAAGTCTGTGCGGGGGTGCATTGTGAGCCCAGACCTCTCTGTTCTGAACTTGGTAATTGTGAAGAAGGGTGAAAATGATTTGCCTGGACTCACTGATATTGAGAAGCCAAGGATGAGAGGTCCCAAGAGAGCGTCCAAAATCCGCAAGCTGTTTAACCTCTCCAAGGAGGATGATGTGAGGAAGTATGTCAACACCTATCGTCGGACCTTTACAACAAAATCTGGTAAAGTCTTGGGTGCCTCCTCCTTCTTTGTTTACTTTTGTCAATTTCAAAAGAATAAAAGGGGGGAGGTGGTCAAATGTATTTGAGGATGGTATCTCACTTTGCCTTCAATAGCATAGCTAGTTTCTAATTCTGGTATTTTCTATAGTGATTAGTTAACCTCCATCTTTATAGATGGAGATAATTTAAGAGGTGGTGAAGTTAAACTCAAGGTGAATAATATTCTGAGCATTAGACTCTTGCTTTCGATTTTTCAATTCATATTCTTTATGGTGACTCTGCTTCTAGATCTTGTCACAATTTTATAGTTGCAGCCTTGCAGGTTGCATTTACTGTTTATAGTCATGCTTAGGCTGCAAAATTTTATTATTTTGGATATGTGCAAAATATTTTTTTTTTATTAATAAACAACGAATATTCATTGTCTGACATTGCTCCTTGATAGAACATGAGCTTCTGCTGTTAAGAAACACTCCTAGCCACTGAAATTTGATCACGTGGCTTTTGTGGTGCAACGTTCGAGTCAAACAATTACATTACAGATCAGAAGATTTCCATAGTAGTTTGCTAGATTTAGCTAAAGACGACTGGGGGATGAGAATAGTCTGCTGAAATAGATAACTGTTTTAGATTATTTAGATTCAGAATTGCTCATAATGGTCACGAATGTGGTTTTGCTGATCAACATGCTTATTGCAGGCAAAAAGGTGAGCAAGGCTCCTAAGATACAAAGACTAGTCACACCTTTGACCCTCCAAAGGAAGCGTGCAAGAATTGCACAGAAGAAGAAGAGAATTGCCAAGGCCAAATCTGAAGCAGCTGAGTACCAGAAACTTCTTGCCTCAAGGTTGAAGGAGCAGAGGGAGCGCAGAAGCGAGAGTCTGGCTAAGAGAAGGTCCAAGCTTTCTAGTGCCAAGCAATCTGTCGCAGCATAGGTCTCTTTCTGAGAGAATGTGTTAGTTGAACAGGCCTTTTCTGAGAGAATGTGCTAGTTGAACACACACACTCTCTCTCTCGTTTTTTTTTTTTTTTGTAAACATTTCTCTTGAGTTTTGACAAAAATATGTGCGTCATTTATTAGCATTGAGTATTATTTTAAGTTGAGCGATTTGTTTCTCTCTGTTTTTTTTTAATAACATCTTTCTCTTATTTTTCAAACAAAAATGTGTGCGTCATTTATCACTAGCGTATTAGTGTAAGGGTGTGTTTAGATTAGCAATGAAAAAGTATTTTTTTTAATCTGATTTTTACAGAAGTTAGATTGAAAAAAAGTCAGATAGTGTAATATGATTTATAGTTAGATTGGATTTTGTAAAAAAGTCAATTTGAAAGGTTGAAGCTTATTTGGATGACTAATGAAAAAGTAAGTTTGGATATAAAATGAGTAAAAATGATATAAATTTTATTATATATAACAAATAAATGTGGATGACATGGTCATTTTTTATGTAAATGACACTTCTTTTGAGACAAGAGAGAGAGAGTATCTCATTTTCATAAAGTTTATTTTTTTTCCCATCCCACTGTGATACATCCTACAAGTAACAAAAGATAACTTCAATGAAAAACTACTTATTTTTATAAAGCTCATTTTTTCTTATTATGATTCCAAACAAAAAGTTGTGGCTAGAAGCTAGTTTTACTGGTAACAAGCCAGTTTGGGATTACAAAACATGATCCCAAACACACTCTAAGTTGAGGGATTTCTTTTTTACTTGCAAGTACCTAGTTAGCAAGTAGCAACTCAAAAATGAAACATGTGTGACCTTAAATATGATGCCGTAAGTTCCAGTGCAGCACAAAAAAAAAAAAAAGATTTGAAAATTGCTTGAGCTCCAGATTATTAAATTTCGAGATGTTATTTATTCTTTTACGAATATTTGAAGAGGGAAAAAAAAAACTGTTCAACCAAAAGTTAGTTTAGAGGTGACGATCAACATCAATATATGCATTGGTCGGACGATAATATTGTGATGACTCTGATACCTGAAGGATAATGTCACTTCAATAAATAATTTTAGTATAACCAGTGCTTGACGAAATAGTTGAGACCAAAAATGCAATTTAACCGGTAGATATTCTAAAAGAATCATCATGTCATTCAATTTTTCTCTATTAAAAATAATCCAAAATAATTAAAGATGAATCATGTGGGAATACTTTAATTAAAAATTTGTCCGTCCGGTCCCAAGTCTAATCCTTTTGAGGCTGCCAAACCTACGAGTCTAGCTAGAATGGAAGCTGAATTTTCAATAATCCTGCGACAAACATGGTAGAAACAAAAACACATATGAATTGGTGACCTAACAAAAGAAAAGATCCATCGATGATCTCCTCGCACTTCCATCTATATATATTACCTCCGATCATAAATATAAGGATCAGTCAACTAATTTAAATAGATTAAAAAAATAAGTTAAGTTAGTTATTTGTAATAAATATGTGCTGTGTTTTCTAAAATATCCTTATTAATCAAATTTATTGAATAGAACTACTATTATTAGAAGGATTATTTTTTTAAAAAAAATGTATAAATATGAGAGACAAAATAGATTAAGATCTTATATTTAAGATCAAAATAAAAGTCAAACAAGATCTTATATTAAGAACCAGAGATAATATATATTATTTTCGATTCTAAATATAAATGTTAGCTGGCGATTCTTTATTTCCCTACAAAAATATTAGGAAGAGAGTTGGGCTCATCCATGATTCAAAGACAGAAAAACTAACTCATGATCCATTGGGTCCTATTCTTACCAGGCATGGAAGCAAGTCAAGCAAGCCCTTTCTTTTTCTAGCTTAATAGGTAGGAATCTTCCAACTTTACTCAGCTACGAATATACCTTCACTAGCGCTTGACTAATTAACTCCAGGATCGAACCCCTCTGTGTTGTGAGATTATCCAATTCTTACACTAGCTGAACCTAAGGACTAGGGGTGTTAGTTAGTAATTCTAAATATAAGATTTCAATCTACTTTATCTTCCAAATATATAATATGTTCTCAAATATACTTCCATCCAAGAATAGTTTTAACGTATATGATTGAATACGAGTAGTTCAAAGAAGTCAACATGCATTTATTACAAAAATTAATTTAACTAATTTATTTAGTCTCCCTAAATTTGTTATCTAATTTTTATATTAAATATTGAAGGTAGTATATGTATAAAGGAGACCAAGAATGTACGTATATATAACTGAATCTTCATCAAAACTCATCAAACCAGCTTCTGCATCAGCCGTGGCTTCTTCTTCTTCTTCTTCTGCAGGGAAATCCATGGTCGTAACTTTCCTTGGGGCTCTCCTTTCAAGCATGATGATGAAGAGTTCAAGTTTGGTAAGAGCTCGTGAGGTTGCTATTAACAGTTTGCCACGTAATTACTAGAGGCAATTCTAACGCACCTCCTTTAACTATATATTCATCCCATTCCAGCGCCGCCCCTCCCACTCCCACACCATGCCAAATCTCCCTAATCATATACTATAAAACCTTATTTATACACCATAAACGAGATTTTATAATTAGGCCTGGGGTAATATTTATTTTATAGTATAATTTTGTATTATAAAATGAATTTTACATATTAAGTACATCTCCTATATATATGCCATATCCTCCCTCTAGTCCATAATATTAGAAGTTGGCCAGAAAAAAATTATTGCTGAATATATAAAACTTTATCAGGATAATTAATGTGATTTTTTTACCTTTGCCTCTATTATAAATAGGAGAAAAAGGAGAGATAAGAGATAATAAAAATATAAAATTAAAGATAACTTTATCATTTTTAGAAATAGTCCTATCCATTTCCCTCTCTGTCTCTATTTATTTACAGGTTTTGTTTTGTATACCTAACTTTTCAATTTTATTTCTATTTAATATATATTATATTTTATAAAAATAAAATCAATATAATAATAAATTGAAAGTAAGATTGTATATTTATATAAAAAAATTTTCTCTAACTCCCAAATGGAACAAAAATTTCTTATCTCTAAATATAACAAGCACAAGCAGTACTACACACACTGTTATTTAAAAAAAAAAATCGAAATATCATTCAAGATCATCAACAAAAAATTATATCATAAAATCCACGTTTTTGTTGGTAAGATTTTCAAAATAAGTCTTATCTTACTAAGTAGAGCCTGCTGCGTAGATCATATGATATCATTATAATCTATTAACAACCAAATCCTCAAATAGGTTGTTAAACATTCGCCTTGATATTTTTTCATTCCTTTTTAGATGACTTTATACTATGTGGTCTACTCTCCTTACCATCGCCTTCTCTGCACATATTTATACCACCTCAAACCTCAAATGATTGTCAATAATTTTCTCTTCAAAATACACCTCGCCTATCTTTTTTTTAATATGATCATTTCGAATCTTATCTTTCACAAATTAAATAAACTAAAAATGAATATTTTAGTAACAAATCAAGAAAAATTAACATGAATATTTTTCACAAATCAATGTTTTTTATTAATTAAATAAATATACAAAATTAATTAATAACAAACATTTTAATGAGGAATTATTGCCAACCAAACATTTTTAAGCGCAACGAACTTGGATAAGCCCTTCAATTATTTTGTAGCCCCAATCCAAAACATTTTTCTAATTTTTAATATAAAACTTAAATAACTAATTTAAATAAATTAAAATATTAGTTAAATTAGTTAATATGATTTTTTTTTTCAAAGGGAAAACTTACCTCCAATTCCTTATAACCAGTGCATCCAGTTTTCTGATCAAGAAGTGCCACCTGGATCTTTTTAACACATCAGCATAAACGGCGGTCATGACATCTCCGTTCACGATTTTCACGAAGACAGAACTGGATCCCCTGTTTGCCGCGAAGGAGATGCAGCGACAATCGATCGGCATTCCTCTCCATCTCTGTTCGACTTTTAGGAAGGATCAGCTTATTGTGTGGCACCTTCATCGGTGCTAGTCATCGTCATAGGTATCTTCTCCACTTCTAGGACGATTTCTTGGGAGGCATAGCAACCAGGCTTTCTCTTCATCAAATCTTAGGGCTTTCTCTTCCGTTTCTACTCCCATCTGAGCCCCTCTTTTCCCTAGCGATAGGATTGGTCTAAGGTCACTAACTCAGTCAAACAAGCTTTCCTTCCCCTGCCATCTTTTCTTACTTCCAATTCCATGTTCTCCTCCTTTGATTCATGTGCTTCTCACTGTCCAAATTATACTGGGTGCCGGGGTTTAATTTGACCTTAAATTCATTAATTCAATGTTGAGACTTGTGATCATCTGCTAAACTGTCTATTCCACATTGATGCTTCTGGATTTTGTTTATTAAACTTTTTTTAATGTAGAACTTTCAGATCTGCTATTCTGCACATTTTTTATTAATGTATTTTCAATTTGCAGGTTTGGTTTGGATCCAAACAATTCTTTGAAGGGTTTCTCTACAACAACAAATGCTGTTCTCTTCAGATAGGCATCGTTTTTGTGATTATCCTCTCTAGCAAGCATGGGGAAATGTCTTTGAGCACTAAACAGTGGTTTTTAATTCTTTTGGGAAACTATTTCGTGCTCTACACAGTATGAACTATAGGAAACTTATTCCTGGGAATTGTTTGAGTTCCTCCTCCATCTCAAGGTTGTCGTGAGTATGACTAGTTAGAACTTTGTAGACATGGTTAAACTATTGTCTTTTAAGCCTAAACCCCTTGTAAATGGGATATCTATAATCTGGTTCAAGTTGAATATAAGATGGGTGGATCTTTTCCTATCATGCTTGTAAAAAGATAAACAAGGATCTAGCTCTGTCCGTGTGAAAATCGCGAACGGAGATGTCATAACAGCCGCTTGTGCTGATGTGTTAAAAAGCTTCAGGTGGCACTTCTTGATTGGAAAACCGGATGCACTGGATGTAAGTTTTCTCCATCTAAGAAACTTATATGTGAGACTTAAATAAATAAAAAGAAAGAAATTATATTTGATTTTTTTTTTCAATTCTTTTCATCAATTTCCATCATAAAGATACGATAAGTACATATGCCTTGAAGCTTAAAGGAGTCAATATAAGCTCTCCTTAATGCTTGGGGACTCAACAACACGAAGCAGACATAAGAAACATACTTAAAATTCCAAGATCACAATCTTGGAAGGCTTCATGTGCAACCTTGACCATGGCGATCACTTGACAGCAGAACTTTGGGGCTGTTTAATAGGATTGAAACGGGCTTGGGACCTTGGAGAGAGGGACATTATCTTAAAGAAGTGACTCACCGGAGGCTATGAAGCTCATTGTCGGAGGTGACAATACGCTACATGATGACCGAGGAGTGATTCAAGAAATCCAGAAAATGATTGATTAGGATTGGCAAGTCGAGTACCAAGTTACAAGGAGAGAAACAAACCAAATGGCAGACGATCTTGCAAAGATAGCCCTAAATGAAGTGAGAGGCTTGCAGATTCTGAGTCCTAGTGCAGTGAAGACGAAGACCATGCCTTACGCTGTTACTTAGTGGTGTTCTTTTTCCAGCTTATCAAAAAAAAAAAAAAGTACATATGCCTTGAATATTGCATGCAGAAATGATTTTTTTTTTTAAATCTATATATATAAGCAAAAATTTTTATGAAAATATAATCACACATGGCCAAAAATATCTTGTAAAACAATTAATTTGATAAGCATCATTTTAACAAGCATTAAATATAAAGAAAAATAATATTTGAGGACCTTCTATAACTTTTGATTATATTTAGGGATCATGAATTCTAAGACTATAATTCTTTGAAGAGGGTCAAGTTTCTGGGTGAAAATAAAAACGTTCCACATATTTTTTTAACTAAACAAAATTTAATTTCTTCTCTAAACACACTTTTTCAACTAAAGATAACGATTATAGACCTTTATTGTTTACTTTTTCGCAAATTCTGACTTTATTCTCTATGTTGTTTTTAGACTCCCCCTTTTTCTCTTCTACTCCCTTGACCTTTATTTATAGAAATTCTGTTTTTTTATCTGATATTTATAGACATTCTAAAGCTACGGTTTGTTAAGATAAGATGTTAATAAGAAAATCTCATGAATAATGATATCAACTAAAATCTTAATAGATTATAACATTTGGATATCCAAAAGTAATTTTGAGGATATTGACTCGTCATTATTTCTTTAGTTAATTAAAAATGGGGGAGAGATAATTTACAAGATAATTACATATATCCTATTATTTTTTAATAAATCTATCAACCTCTTTTAAATTTACTGAGAGGTAATCTAGACGATATTAACTTTTCTATTGATTTTTAAAAATATCAAATATATATTGTAGTTAAATCTCTAATTTGTAAAAAATAATCCCCCAATCTAGGGTGTGTGCGTGTGTTAAAATTAGAGCTGCACAACGAACGAACCGAACCAGACCAGAGCCCAACCTGAAGTTTGGTTTGATTTTTAATTGGGTTGGGTTTGGCAGTCTGTGGTTTGGTCCAATCCAGTGGTGACTCGAGGTCAGGTTGGACTGGACTTGGTCCACCAGACTGGTGGACTGGTCGAAGTGCAGTTCAGGTTTCTACGTTTTTTTTCCCCTTTATGGGAAGCAAGATTTCAACATGACAAATACAATTTAAGACAATAAAAAATATCTATAATCATGTAAAACTCATCCTAAAATATTGAGACCTCATCATAAATACATAAAAGTTTATAAATATATTAAAAAAAATAAAGGTTACATCTAAGTTACAAATTATTGAAAAATAAAAAATTCACCTTGACTGGCTCGGACCAATTCAGGTGGTTTGATCATTTGGTCTAAAACCCAGTTCAGTCTGGCCAACCAGTCTAGTCTGGTCTGGTCTAATTTCATTATATAGTTTATTTGGATTGGACTAGACAGGACCGGACCATCTCGGGTTGGACTGGACTGGATTGGACATGGGTTTTTGCACACCCCTAGTTAAAATCTTGAAGCACCCTATCATTTGAATCATAGATATATCCGCTTAACAATTTGATAAATTGATTTATGTTTGAATTGATTGGGAAGATATAGTTTTATATTATCCCAAGAATATTAATAGACAATATATAGAAAACCTTATCCTTAGTAAAATATTAGTAACCAAAATATACTTTTTTGTGGAGATATCAATTCACTATAACTACAAATATTTTGTTGTCTTGTTAATTTATATGGTCCCAAGTCCCAGCTCCTAGTGAATGCTTTAATTTACATTTATATTAAAAAATGTATGAATTTTATAGAGGCTAAAGAGGAGATCATTGAATGAAAATATTTTTTTTTTTTTTTGCATCTTTATTCATCTTACGAAGAATACGAAATACTTTGCATGAAATAAATGTGTTTAGAATTTACACTACAAACTAGATATTATATTTAGGATCAAAATAGTAGGGTTTGGTTTAGAGTAATTCTTTTCTATAATTTTGCCTTTCGAGTTCTCTTATCGGAATATTAAAAAAAAATTGGTGATTCTTAAATGTAAATAATATTCTTAGCGAGTCCTGAAATATCATTTTGCCAAAAGTTAAGGTATTTAATTATCATTAAATTACTTACAAAATCGTGAAGTGTCATTCTCCGAAGAACAACTAAGCAATTTGTCCTGTTCTCATTAGTAATTTCTTGTAAAATTTTAGATTTGATCTATTTTTTTAAGTATGGAAAATTAGTTGAATTTGAAGGTAAAGAGCCAACCACCTCGTTAATTAGTCAAAAAGCTTGAGTTCCCAAATTCAGAAGCTGTTGAACTATATCAAAACTCTCTCACAAAGTCTCAAAATGTCTTCTTATGGTTCTCCAAACTGATTAGTACATTTCTCCCAAGAACTTTATATGTATTATAATCGTAGGAAGAATATGTAATTTTCACTTTCTAGTTTCTAGAATAATACATAAACATTCTATGGTGCCAAGTGCCAACTTGTCATTCACATATACAAATGCGAACATGAAAAATATGTCCTGAATTAGATCCTAACCAATCATATATGCATTAACGTAGAACGTATTTGGTAGCATGTGAGACACCTATTGGCTATATTCACAGACTTTCTAGCCACGTCTGACTCGATCACATCACCCTTTGCCAATGACCTTATCGGTCTTACCTTACCACAAGAATATGTGTGTGTGTGTGTGTGTAAAAGTATTGGTGAACTAACAAAAAGACGTCAAAGTCTGTTTATGTTTATGGTTGTCCAAACCGATCAGATCCATCACCTACCTCTATCTATATAAAGACCAAGAAGCTACATATCGTATCTCATCAAAGATCAGATTAAGCACATACACCTTATATTCTCTTCTTCTTCTTCTTCATCTTCTTCTCATAACTCAGCCATGGCTTCTTCTTCCGGGAAATCCTTCATCGCGGCTCTCCTTGTGGCTCTCACAGTGTCAAGCATGATGAGTTGCAGCCTAGCAGCTCGTCGTCTACTTCAAACGACACAGCCTTCGATACCAAACATGCCTGGAATTCCAAGTAACTTGCCTAAACCTACAGGATTGCCACCTTTGCCTTCAATCCCAACTAACATTCCTCCATTGCCTACAAATCTCCCAAATATGCCAAAACCCAATGCACTTCCGCCTCTTCCTTCTATGCCTCAGATCCCAACAGTCCCACAGGCCACACTTCCTCCATTGCCTAACATTCCTTCTATTCCCACTATCCCTATCACTATCCCCTCCATCCCATTCCTTTCTCCTCCTCCTTCCAATTAATATCACAAAACATGGTTCACTAGCTTGTGGCTCATCTTGGTGTTATTATAGTTGCTTCATCTATTATTGTAGCTGGTAGTGCTCAGCAGCAAGCCGGCGTATGGACGTATAATTATTCATTATTGGTATTGGTTTGCATTATTTTATCTATTTGTATGTCTGAATGTTAGGAAGAGTTGTATGTGGCTATATATGTCAGTTTCTTCTTTTTCCGTTCGGTGTGATGACATTTTAGAACAGTGTCTTATTTTTTTTGGTATTGATTGTAATCTTTGTTTTCACACTTAATATATACAATAATGCAGTCAATGCAGTGTTCAGCTTCGATCTCATCTGAAACTCCTAAAACCCTCATATTAGAGTACTGTATATTTTAAATTAGACAACAAACGGAGAAAGAGAATTGCTTATCCAAGTGAAGGAATGATGGTCAAACGGAGTTGTGTTATGGATCCACAAAAGTTCTACTGGTAATATTCCATTAATTATAATTGAAGGGTGGTGCTTACATTCACAATTTCACATTCCATATATCAGTTTCAACAAAAATGCCAGCAAAGAAATAGCCATTGAGGAAAGAGAAAATCTGTTTAGAAAGAGAGACATCACAGAATCATATTTGACGGAATATTAAAATATAACTTTACCAAATTGTCCTCCATTCTTGCCATTCACCCCCCTTCTCCTATTCTCACATTTCCATCCCCTGTTTCTCAGTTCATCCAGTATCCAGAACAGCTGCTACAGAACGATTAATACCTGGACATCATCTAATATGCTTAATATTTTCTTCGACTCACCCGCTTTACAGAGCTTTAATTCCTTAGCAACTAATCAACAATCTGTGTTCTCTTCCACTTGAATTCACCATTAATACGCCTCTGACTGTTTCCCCGATAATACCCAATACCACAATGAACGTCTAACTACTTTAGATTACAAATCTAGTTACGCTTAGCAAATAAGGGTTTATTTGAATTTGCTTATTTTAAGTGCTTATAAATACTTTTACATAAGCTGAAACAAAAATTCTCTTCACTTATTTACTTTGTATTCTATAAGTCATTATTAAAGAGTTGCTTATAAGCTATTCCAAACAAGTTGTAATTCAGATAGCACCTGAAGGCTCTTTTGGAAAAAATTGAAAAGGGTGGCACTGACTAGCCTGCTGATTTCGCAGCCAAACTGACACCATCTCTTAATTCAATTTTAATTTATTAGAATTTACATTCAATATAATCACACCGTAATCTGGCTTTTATATTTATGACTGGAGGTAGTATTTTGTTTTGCTTACATTTGATCAAAAGCATCCCAACATTTCCTTGTTCGTGGAATTTATGTATTACAAGTTGGGACTAAAAAAGTAGCACATATATCTTTATCAGAAAAGAAAAATAAATTCTTAGATTTACAGTCATTTGAATTGATATTTACAACTTATTTTTCAGAAATATTTGTCAAGAATTATTAATTCGTTTTTTGGACCTTACTGCGGCATATCATTAAATTACTTTTAAGGTGTTCGACTGTCATTGCAAATGAAAGAACAACTCAGCAATCTGTCGTTTTGTCACTATTTCTTGTAAAATGTAAGGAATGATTTTCCAAAGCATGAAAGTCTAGTGGGTTGAGAGCCAACCCCGGCATTTTTAGTCAAAGAAGCTTAAGTTGAAATTTCAAATTCAGAAAGTGGTGATCTAAGAGCTAATTAATCAAGTTCAACTAGAAAGTCAAAAGGTCTTCTTATGGTTCTCCAAACTTTCTTCCAAAAACTTGTCGAAGTTCTTCTTCACAATATAAACTTATTATTTTTAAAAGTGAAAATGAGAAATTTGTGTTGAATTCTATATCCTAATTAATCATTATGTGCACTGTATAGAGTTTGGCAGCAGGTCACTTGACGGACTTTTAGGCGCCGACAACGATGGAGTTTGGCGAACCAAGTAATCAAAATATTTCAAAAAGTCTCTTTTATGGCTCTCCAAACACACGTCCCTCCGACCTACCTCCACCTATATATAAACACCATGCAAACCCCATGGATTCTCATCAAAGCTCAAATTTAGCTACCATCTTCCATTATTCTCTTCTTCTTCTTCTTCTCATAACTCAGCCATGGCTTCTTCTTCTGGGGAACCCTTCATCGCAGCTTTCTTAATGGCTCTCACAGTGTCAAGCTTGATGAGTGGCAGCCTCGCAGCTCGTCGTCTTCTTCAAACAACACAACCTGCCATACCAAACATTCCTGGAATTCCAAGTAACTTGCCAAAACCAACAGGATTGCCACCTTTGCCTTTAATCCCAACTATTCCTCAACCCAAAATTAATGTTCCTCCTTTCCCCACAAATCTCCCAAATCTTCCCAAACCCAATACACTTCCTCCTCTTCCTTCCATGCCTAAGATTCCAGGAGTCCCGCAGGCCACACTTCCTCCATTTCCTAAGATTCCTTCTATTCCCAATATTCCAATAAATATTCCCCCCATCCCATTCCTCTCTCCTCCTCCTTCGAGTTGAAACCACAGAATGTTTCATCCCATGTTAGTTGCTTCACCTATTGGGGTTGTTAGTTCTCAGCAGTAATATGCTAGCATATATGTATTTGTGTATATATATAGACACACAAACACGGGTGATTTCACTTGCTGTTTTGGTTCAAGTTGCTTTACCTCGTGTGTCTGTATGTTAGGAAGAGTTTGAACGTGTCAGTGTGTTTCTTTCTCTCGTTTTACAGTGAAATTCCAAACAGTGTGTACTTTTTTAGTCCTATGAGGTCTTCCGTAATTTGTGTTATCACTTGCTAAATAATATTATATAATCATGCAGTTACTGCGATGTTCCTATCTGCTCTGAAACTTCTTAACCTTTTATTAATTAGCATTCATCTATCTTATTTATAAGCCACTTGTGACATATTTTTATCAAAACCAAAAAAATTTTAAATCTATTTTTTGGCTAAAACCTTAAACCTAACTAATTAGCTTAAAATTTAATATTTTTCAATTTCATCCTTATTTAATATACACTATAGTTCATGAGAGCAAAGTTTACACAATACTAGAGAAATGGTAAAATTGTATATTCATATAAAAAATGTAATGATATCATTTATAAATAAAACAAAACGAGTACTCTTTGTCTATCTTATGAATGGAACCATAGAAGCATGATGACAGAAGACGACAAACAGAATACAGAATATAAATTCAATAGAGAGAAAGAGTTCTGGTTCTACTGAATAATGACCATATATACGAGACTCAAGATGACATGTAAGCAAGATGGCTTTGACTGTTTGACTAGACTCACAACTTAATCATAACAGACACTGAACTCTATTCTGATAGAGATAAAGAGAACTGTTTATTTTCCTAAACCTTGAACTTGAAGGCCTTCCCTCAACTGAAGGTAATGGTGGCCAAAGAGTCCTCACAAAATATGTAACTGCGGTGAGGCAAGTTAATTTTTTTTTCTTCTTTGGGAAAAAATGTTGAGAAGCAAACTAAATAAGTCACCAGGGCAAATAATAAGAATATCATAATATTGATAATCATGTGTTTGCCAAGAAAGGTCCTTTCAGGTTGATGAATTTCATTCTCCGTATCAGATTGCGATTCATGTGCATATATTAGCTATACAAAAACAAAAATTACATACTAAAACATAAATTCAATATGCAAAGTTTAAAGATGAATTTTCTACCAATTAATCTGAAACAATTAAAAATTATATTAAAATATAGTATCCTTTAATTCCATACGCTTAAAAACGAGTTTACAATTTGAAACTAAGCGATAAAAAAATAAACAGTAGTTATGTCTTTCACAATGTTTGTGTATAATCCTTTAGGCTATGAAGGGAATAATGAGGAAAAACTAGGGGAGTGAATACTAAGAGGAAAATTTTTCAAATATATATATATATATATATTAAAAAACTTATTATTTTTGGGAGTTTTCCCCTTCTAGTATTTTTTTTCTTTTCTAATTTTCTTCCCATCCAAACAAAGAGTTAATATGCTTCTTATAATTTGTCTAATGAAGCTGCCTCAAAATAAAATTTCAATGGAGGACGACCAATAATCGATGGCCTAATTAATTTCCTGTTAGCATTATTGCATTCTTCCATAGCATGGCTCATTCAACAGGCATGAAGACGTAATTTATTGATTTTAAATGAGAGATTAAATGCGCTTGGGAGGTGTGATTATGACATTTTTGTCCTTAAAGTATTCCATGAAAACCAATTCTTATCCTAAAATATATATATTTGAGCAATGTTACCGATCAAGTATCTATCAAAGTCATTGCAATGTTATTCTTAAATTAATGAATAGTGGGGTTAATTATTAATTTCAAAGAGAGAAATTTAGGTTTGATCAATGACTGACATGTGGCATTTCTATGTGGAAAAGCCTTCTGTTTTCTTTTGATTATGTTGAAAAACTACTTGTATTTAGACTCTATTATCAGGAACCCGACTAATCCATCCTGACTTAACTGAGGTCTCTAGTAGGATGTTATTGTTAATGCCACAAATGTGATGCCACATTTTTTGATGAAAAAATTAAGATAAAAGTTATTTAATATTATTACTTATATTAAAAAAATTAGGGTGTAGTGCTTGGTTATAAATACTCTTTGGACAAAAATACCCGTTTAGCCCATTTGTTTCATTCAGCATATAATGAATGCCTCATGGATGCCATGTCGACACATCCATTGGTCAAAAGTAACTCATTAATGATCGCCGTGGGTCTGACCACATTGCGCCCTTTTTGAAACTCTATTTTGTTTTTTAAATTTTTGGGGACATTGATTGCGATGCTTCTTCACAGGACATTTGAAGACAAAAATACTCTTAAACCCAATCTAAATTGCTGAAGATAACTCATGATTAACCATTATAAAAGGAATAACTTGAAGACATAGGTTGTACATTAAAAAAATAAAGTGAACGTTTCTTAACTTGTACATAGAGATGGTTTTTTCTGGTATACTATACATTGAGATATTTTAAATATAAGTAATAATTTATATAACTCTTTTTAACAAGACATAACCCAAGAGTTTGTCAACAATGCATCCAAAAGATAAAATGAACACAGAACAATAACATAAAAAATAGCTGTGAAAACCCCATTTGCTAGAGAGACTTCCTTTTTGGGCTATAAAAATTAGTCTTCTAAAACGTTACAATGAACCCATTTAGTTAAACCATCTCAACGGGTTTTAATTCAAGGTCAATTATTGTTGTTATTGTCAATAATGTTGTTAACATAAGAAGCTTTTCATTTCCCTTTTCGGCTAACTACTATTATAATAAAATAATATCGTTCACCTTACTTCTGATAGTTCAATCTTATCAGTCCAACCAACCGCAAGAGAATACGTACCATACAGGAAAATTGGTGAACTAACAAAAGATCTCAAAGCGTCTTTATGGTTCTCCTAACCCCAGAAGCTCTATCTCTACCCATATCTATATAAGACCACAAACCTCATTCATATTCTCATCAAAATTCAAACCAAAGAATATCTTCTTCCTGCATTGTCTTCTTCACTCTTAAACTTCATAATCCAGCCATGGCTTCTTCTGGGAGGTCCATCCTCGTAACTTTCCTTCTGGTTCTCACATTCTCAAGCGTGATGACGAGTTCCAGCGTAGAAGCTCGTCGTCTTCTTCAAACAACACAGCCTTCGATGCCAAACATGCCTGGAATTCCAAGTAACTTACCTAAACCTACAGGATTGCCACCTTTGCCTTCAATTCCAAGCAATATTCCTCCTTTGCCTACAAATCTCCCAAATATGCCAAAACCCAATGCACTTCCTCCTCTTCCTTCTATGCCTCAGATTCCAACAGTCCCACAGGCCACACTTCCTCCACTGCCTAATATTCCTTCCATTCCCAAAATCCCAACCACTATGCCCTCCATCCCATTCTTTTCTCCTCCTCCTTCTAATTAATCTGATCAGAAAATGGTTCATCTGTGTGTTGACTTAAATTGCTTTCTTGTATTATTTTAGCAAGTGAGGAAGAGTTGTATGTCACTATATGTCATTTGTTTCCCCCCCCCCCTATTGCTTTGGTTTTGTGTGGAATTTTATGTTATTGGTATGAGGTTATAGAGTATCGAGTACGCTAGCTTGTTACAGTAATGCAGTTACTACACGCGCGCGCGCGCACACATATGATGTCCTCTCTTCTCTGATGAGACTTAATTATTTAGACACTATTGGTACTCTATATCTTTATTTAACACTGTTTTTTTTACATTCTTGTGTTGAATCTTTCATTAAAGGTCCCAACCATTTGATTTCAAGGAAGAAGTATATCCTCGAGTGTTAATTGATTTCACCATTAATTTTGATTCGTTTAAATGTTGTACTTTGAAAAGTCATTTTTGCATTATATGGGACAAAACTCTTTTCATATATTTATCTTATATAATGTAAAATCACTTTTCTATAATGATTCCAAAGGGCATTCAATACAAGAGTTGAATTATAAATTCAAATTCTTACGCTATTAATAACCTGTAAATCACAAATGTTCAATATAAGTACAAATAGTCGAATTATAAATTGTAGATTTGTAAATAAAAGAAATGGAAATCGTATTCAAACTATTATTACGATTAAAATTTAATTAGTTGTAAATAATTATTAGTAGTGGAATTGTAAAATTTTCAAATACCACATGTAGATAAAAGAAACCTTATAATTGGATTTTCACATTATTGACTTAAAAATTCCAAAAATATATTAGTGAATTATTAGAAACCTCTCGCAAATAAAAACTAACCAACATCGAGATTTTTATGCAATATTTTGTTATTACTAACTTATAGTCTCCAACAAAAATTTAGCAATTTACAGGTCAATGGCATTAAACAAGTAGTCTTAAATTAATTTACAACACCGTCACTAAAATTTACTACTAAACTAAAGTATTACTACTAAACACATTGGTTGGGTCAGAATCTAAACATGATGCAGATAAAAATGCTGATTTCAACATTGAAATAAATTGGAAAAACTAATATGCCAATCCTTATACTTTCCTTCCATTTTTAATCAGATGCTTCAACTTTTTTTTCTTTTTATGAACTCCTTCTTGTTTTCGCTGTTTAAGCCGTCCATCCTTGAATGTTAAAACTGTTATAACACCATTTGAGTGAATCCACATAGGACATGACCAGAGTCTTCTTTTTTACCAGATACCAAATTCTTAGGTTAAAGGCGCAACTTGCAGTCGCGTTATTATTCTGAGATTAAGCAAATACCCTGGATAGTAATGGTACCACTATCGCCTAGTAGAAAGGCTCCTACTCCATATTTATATTTGAGCAAACTAGATAGCTTTCACGCATTAAACACGAAATCTAAAATAATTTAATTCATTATATATAATGCTATATTTAATTTATTGAAGGAGACAGAGAGTGATAGAAGGCTATGAATCATAAGCGCGGGCAAGAGACACAGGACATCCTATTGCTATTGAGCTTTTTAACCCTATTTCTTATATGTCAACACATGTACTAAGTAGCTACCATATTATTTTGTTCACCTCTGTTTTTTGGACCTAAAACAGAGGAAAACATAGCAGCAATATGCTTTTTCTTGTTTCCATTATAAATGAATAGAGAGAGCCTTGTTCACAACCACAAAGACATTATTTGACTTGAAAACTTCTTCTTGAAGGTTTCATGCATCGACATCAATAAAGCCATAAGAATAATCATCACCCAACTCTCTTTCATCACTAATTCACTATCTTCAAATACCTTAATATCACATGGCTCAGCTTCATCTACATCGTGCCCGGGTTTCAACATATACCCAAAATATAACCAGTAAACTACAAATAATTCCTAATGAATGAAGCTTAGAGACCCAACAGATAAAAGCAATTTTCTCTCACCTGATTGTTAAACTCAGAGACTATGAACAGTGCTATTTTGAAAGCTTGTTACTGTTTTGTTCACTCCAAGGACAAAACTCTTGCAACAAAGCTTGTCCTCAACGCTCATCTCTTTTGCTTTTTTTGAATGAAATAACGATGCCAACAAATATGGCTTTACTCCAAGTCAATCTTACCACATTTGATCCAACTGGAAGCCAAGTGAACTTCTTTCAATGATGTTTTAACTTGGTTTGACAGATTTTAGACAGAAGGACCAACGCCTTTAATGTTTAAAACAATAAGGATTCAATAAAATGAAAAAAAAAAGGTACGAGGACCTAATTAAAAACTGAGGAAAAGAATAAAGACCGGCATATTAATTCTCCCAAATAAATTTTTATTGCTTAAAGAGACCATGGTATTTTAAAAATTTAATGTCTTAAGTGTCATTAAGTGACTTTCAAGGTCTAAAGTGTCATTCTTCGAATTAAGGGTCAAAGTTTAGACCGGTCACAATAGTTCTACTTAATAGAAATCATAGAGAGGAGGCAAACTAAGTATAGTTCTCCCAAAAACTTGTGAAGGGGCCAATAAGTTATAACTTATAGGGGAAAGGAAAAGAAAGTAAGACCAACTCCAATATGCAGTTCTCCCACAATTAAATTAAGAAAAATTGGGAAAAAGACAAAAAAAAATGATAGTTAAATAATGAAAGCCCCAAATGGTCATCTAAATAACCAAAATTTCAGTTTCATTATAGTGACCAAATTAGGATTTGCAAATTTCCTAAAATAATCATGTTGTCCTTTTTTTTTTTGAAGAAAAACACACCACCAGAGCTCTAGTACCAATGGCGGCTACTGATCACTAGAGCTCTGATGAATGATTGCTAGAGCTTCAGCAGCCAACAACTATTTTTTTAGAATTTTTTTAAGTCTGGTAATGGGATTAACAAGTTATTTAATGTTATTAATAAATTTGATATAGTAGTTAACAACAAATTTCTTAAGAAATTCAAAAAATAACATTTTTATAATTTTAGTAATGTGGTTAACAAGTTCGGTATAACATTTAACATAAGCTTTCTAAAAAATTCAAAAAGTAATATTTTTACAACTTCAATAAGCTAATTAACAAGTCATGTAACAATATTAACAACTATCATAATGCTATTGACAAATCTAATAACAAGTCATGTAATGATATTAATAACTCTTATAACTATAGTAACTGCCTAATAAATGGAAAAATTTTGTTGTACAACTTTCATAGGGCTCCAATATTAAAAACATTAACTTTCATAGGGAAATTTTGTTAATGTTGTTATGAGAATTATTAATATCGGTACATAACTTGTTAACCGCATCATTAAAGTCGTAAAAGTGCCACTTTTTAAATTTTTTACAAAACCTGTTGTTAACTGCTATACCAAACTTGTTAGTAGTGGTACAGAACTTGTTAACCAAATTACTGAAATTGTGAAAATGCCACTTTTTAAATTTCTTGAAAAACTTCTTGTAAGAAACTTGAAAAAATCCACCAAAAAATGGATACCAGCCTTGCTAACAACGAAGCTCCAAAGACCGGTCGTTGTTTTTTTTTAATAAACGAAAATATAGTTATTTCAGCAATTTGCAAATTTTAATTTGGTCACTTATACCTAAACTAAAATTTTGCTTACTCAGGTGACCATTTGGAGATTTTGAAATTTAGAAATCATTTTTTTATCATTCTTCATAAAAATTATTTACTCAAAATTATTAAATATCTGTGATAATTAAAATTCAATTTTCTGTTCATCATAAAACAATTTTTTGCAAAAAAAATTTCTTGTGTGAGAAATCAAGAAATAAAAGATGATTTCATAAAAGCGTCGAACCTGCTGTTACTGTATTGACTGGTCTAGATTTATTGGAATTGGAAAAGCTTTCCTCCGTAAATTTAAGACACCCAAACCCAAGACTTTGAGGTATGCTATTTGTTTTCGGATAATTCTAGTCTTTTTAATTTTAATTATAATTTTATACTCTTCCGGTCCTTAATATAGGATCAAATTATTGAGTTAATTTTGATCCTAAATATAAGATCTATTTCTCATATTTATCATTTCTTCCTAAATTACCTCTATAGATACTTCCTCGACCATATAATTAAGTAGAAGAGGGAGGGAGGAGTTTAAGAAAATGATTATGGTGTTTTAAGAAAAACATGTCATATTTCTTATAATTAACTAACTTACCTAACTTCTTAATCTAATCAAATTAGTTAAATAGGTCATATATTAAGGACTAAAGGAGTACTACATATTTTCATTTTATTTTAAAAATTAACTTCTAAAATTCCTTATTTAAAGTACAATCTCTTATAATTTTCATTTCTGAATAGAAAATCTGAGTTTTTCGGTTAATTCTTACAAAAAATTCATATACATGTATATACACTCCCTGTGATCTTAATTGTACCGCAAAATTTCATAGCCTTACTTAATGTTAAATATAGGACAAAGATATGGGGGTTAATTTTTTTGGGAAAATTATGCAGGTTCTAAGGTAAGGAGTAGAATTTATTCATCTAAGGTCTCACAAAATATTAAAATTAATAGCAGGTCCAAAGGGACTTCAGAGTATTATATTATAATTGTAAAATGACATCACTACCCTTCAGGTTTTCAATTCATAATTTTCTCTGCAAGTGCGATTCACAATCTCAACGGTGAGTATTAACAACCTAGTGGGAAGCTGTTGACAATCTAAATAGTATTTGCTAACAACTTACTTTATAAGATCACATAACCTCCACATAAGAGTAAATTATAACTAAATAGTATAATACAATAACTTTAACACTGAAATGGGAAGCTTCTTAAAGGCATTAAGAACTTTAACTAAACCTAATAGAATTATAGCAGAGTTTTAATGGGAAGATCCATTAACAACCTCAACGGTGAGTGTTAACAACCAAAAGGGAGCTGTTGACAACCTAGTTAGTGTCTGTTAACAACTGACCTTATAGGATAATATAACTTCTACATAAGATCAAATTATAACTAAATAATATAACATAACAACTTTAACACTGAAATCATTTGTATGAAAACTTCATAGCAATACTGTACTTATATAGTGTTTCCGAAGGGCCATTACATTGAGAAAAATTTGTCCTCTCTAATAACCAAATCCTTCTATTTTGTCGAATTCATTTCAAAAATAAGTGTTGACATTATTTGTGAACCACATGGTAATAATGGTAGGTCTTCACCCACACATTCAGTAGAGACATAGACAATGCATTTTAACCTTTGAATAAATCTCCCATCCTACATAATAAGACAAGTCATAGAGTTGTTAATGATAATATTTGACCAC